AAAAAAAAAAAGTTCGGCTTTTCCATCCTGTGTCCAAGCTTTGTTTTTGGTGACACACCCAGAGATGCATGGCAAAGGAATCTTTTATCCCCCTCTACTGGTCTGACTGTGGGCCTTGTGGACAGAAAGTGATGCTACCAAGCCAAAGGTTGTTGTTTAATGCCATCAAGTCATAGACGACTCATAGCGACCCTATGAACGAACAGCCTGAGCACTGTTCGTACATAGAGTTTCCGGAGGCAAGCCATTTTGGAAGTGGATGCCGCTCCTGCTTCCAGGCTTGATTTAGTCGGGAAGCTCCAGCCAACACTGTCCACCATGGGTGCCCATTACCACGACTGGCACATCACTGTCACACGCTTCAGCATCAGAGCAACCACGAGTTACCTCTTTACAGCAATGCACAGACCAGTGCTATACCACCTAGAAGAATGTTTGACAGGAAGACAATTTGAACCTGGCCAAGGGCCACAGATGACAATCACCCACCTTCGGCTTGGTAGCCAAAGGTGGGTGATTTTAATCTGCGACTCTCAGGCCTAGTTTTACTTGGTTTTGGTCAAACATTCTTCTAAATGGCATAGCACTGGCCTGTCCACTTGCTGTGCAGAGGTAACTCGCAGTTGTTGTGATGCTAAACACTGTGACACTGATGTATCAGATGTGATAATGGTTACCCATGGTGGACAGTGTTTGGTGGCGCTCCCCAATTAAAACAAGCTTGGGAAAAAAAAAATAAAAAAAACAAGCTTGGAAGCAGGAGTGGCATCAGCTTCCAAAATAGCTTGTCTCTGGAAACACTTTGAACTTGGAGAAACGATGAAAGTTATACAAATGTTCAGGTCTTTCATTCATAGGGTCGCTGTGAGTCATCTAGGACTCAACAGCACCTAACAACAACAACTGGACTGACTGAAGCAGGGCTTAGCGGCATCAGAAGCGGTGAGGACAGCACGTTTCGGACTCATTGCTCACAGGGTCTCTGGAATTTAGATGTTTCCCTCCTACTCCGATCCCACTGCTGGTTTCAGCCATTGGAACAAACTACCCGAAGCAGAGTCCAGCCACTTTCCCAGCTCGGAATCCTGGGCCAGAAGTGCCTGTCCTGAGCCCTCGCTCCTGTAACACCAATTTTGAAGAGTGGTCTCTATTTTCTCAACAGTCCTGTCAGGTGTGCATCATGAACTCCATTGTACAGATGGGAGAAATTCCGAGGTCACTGAGGGTTTCGCCATATGATGGCATTCCCTGTCATCCCTCAGAGTCCCATCTGATCACCTTCAGGTGCCCTGAAGCCATGGCCTGGTCCCCAGGAAGTCTTGCTCACTTTTGCAACAGTTCACTACTGGAAATCATCTTGTTTACAGGTGTTTGTTTTCCCCAGAGAGCAAGTGTGGGGTCGGCCTGCTGTGTAGGAACCTGGAGGATCCCTGCTTGAACCCTGTCTGACATCTGATGCTTAGTGAACAGCTACAGTTCCAATGAGGGGCAGCTGGTCCTGCTCCCCTCCCCCGACGATGCTGAAGAATCTCCCCAGGGTACACTTTGTATCTCCTCCTGCAGACTCCAGCCACCTGGGTCAGGGCCACCCTGGCCCACAGCAGTGCTCGGCCACCACTGATACCTGACCAGTGTGGGGATAGGTGCAGCGCACACCTGATCTGTCGGAGTCTCCTTAAAGGGCACAGCCTGCCCTGGCCCCCTCCCCGACTCATGGGAGCAGAGTCTCCCAGCCTGAGCTCACAGGGACCCACCGAGGATCAGGAGGAAACCGGAGACAGGACAAGGCACTGGGGGAGCACAGCCACCCGCAGTGGCCAAGTTTTATTGCAGCCAGAATCCCCGAGTCAGGTGGGGAAGAGGACTAACTAGGCAGAACATCTTCGGTGCTGGTGGTTCAGTCAGGATGTGAAGGGCAGGGGGCCCGAACCTCCAATCTCCACTGCGTCTCCTTATCCCCCCCTCAGGGCACCTGACAGGGCTCGGCGGTGGGGGAAGGAGAGCCCCCTCCAGCAGTGTCCACTCGAGAGGTATAGGGGCTCTGGCTCTCTGGGCTGACACCCCACCCACATCCTGAGTGTTGTGTGTCACTGTGTCCACAGGTAAGAACAGAGGAAGGGAAACCGGCGAGAATCCACGGCTGAGACCACAAGGCAGGCCCAGGTCCCTCCCAGCCCAGGGCTGTGTCCACTCTGCTCCAGCTGCCCCGCCTGCCTGTGGCGCTATGCGGGGATCTGCACGCGGTCCAGGTCCTGGTCCATGATCTGGAGGACGTCGTCCAGGATGGAGGGCCCCAGGTCCACGTGCAGGGATAGCAGAGAGCTGGCGTGGGACAGGAAGGGCTCCTCGGCCTCCGACTGGGGGCTCAGCCCATTGTGGGTGGGGTCAGCGCCCACAGTCCTCCAGATGTCCAGGTCCCCCACCTCCACCTCCTGCAGGGAGGGCTGTGGGCTCTCCAGGTGCAGCCGAGGGGGCTTAGGCGGGGCCTGTGGTGGGGGCAGGGTGAGGGCCTGGGGTCCCCCGATGACTGGTAGGGAGATGGCGTTCTTGAGCAGCGGGGACAGCCCGTCGGGGAGCTCTCGGCTGCACATGGTGGAGGTGCGAGTGAACTCGAACGGGATGTCCAGGGCGCCGTCCTCTGGCCCCTCGACCGCCGTCCCTGGCAGGAGGTGGAACTTGCCTTGCAGGAAGGAGATGTCCCCAAACATGTCCCCTCCGCTGCCGATGTGGATGGTGTGGCGGAAGTCCCCCAGCGGGGGGCTGATCATGTCCGAGGACAGCAGATCTCGGAGCTTCTCCTTGCCTTTGCGGCTGCCGCGCTTCAGATAGATGGGCACCTTGGTGGACATGGTGGCCTCACACCGCCACCCCCTCCGCTGGCTCCAGGCGGTGACCAGAACTCTCCTGGTGGGCTGAGTCTCGAGCACGGTCCGTCCCAGGAATCAAAGGAAAATCGATGATCAACACTGAAGTGAGTGGGGTGAGAAAACAAAAGTCACTATCTCCCCAAAGGGCTGAGAACTTGTTTCTGGAAACAGGAAGCAGGAAGGTGGTCTCTGGGCAGCAGGGTGCTTTGATCGAGTCTCCTCAGATTCCTCTTCTGTCCAGGCCTCGGGAGCTGCCGCTCCTGAAATACAAAGGGAAGAAGTCAGGGAAGAGGACCCAAGGTCAGAAGCGTCCATCTTGTTCCCCAGAAGCCCACATCTGCCCCTAGAGCTTCTAGGGGTCCGCCCGCCGCCTGCTGCACAGAATGTGGGGAAACTAAGGCTCAAGTGAGGGGCAGGTGGGGAAATGGAGGCTCACGTACATGGGGTTCAGGATGAAACTTTGGCCCTACCCCCTGCTGTGACCAACACAAAGTAAGTGCCGAGTTGGGGGGGTCAGTATGTCTCACAGACTTGTCTCCAGTCCTTCCCTCACCAAGGTCTCTCCTTCCCTAGGCCTGGCACACGGAGCTCCGGTGGCTTAGTGGTAAGGATCTGTGCTGTCAACCCAAATGTACACGGTTCAATTCCACCAGCTGCTTCACGGGAGACAGATGGGCAATCAACGCTCTGGAGGCTCAGCTATGAGTCGCTTGACTTGAGAGCACATGACAGGCCTGTCGCTGCAGATGTCTAGTCACTTCTGTGTTATAAATTCCTTGAGGGCAAGGCCAGGTCTGACAGGGCTTCTGTCCCTCCCCGCTGCCCAGCCTCTGAGGGGCAGGAGCCCAGGTGATGCTGCCAGCTTGGCTCTGGGCCTGCACTTGCTGAGATCTCTGAATACCTCACCGCCTTGCTGCTCGTCCCCAGGGGTTCTCACAGGTCTCACACACAATGGGAAACAAAATGCAAAGAACTGGGAGAGCCCACTTATGTACAGCCTGACCCGCCCCACTCCTCCAGTTCTCAAATGCACGGGTGGACCTGCCCACTTACCTACCTAAAAAAAAAAATAATGCAAGGTCATTGCCACAGTGGCGTCAGAACCGACTTATAGCTGAGGCAGTTTCTGAAGCTGTAAACTGCCCTGGATGAGACTGCCCAGCCTTCTTCCTTGGAACTGGTGGATCTGAACCACCAGAAAGGCTCAGCCTTTGTGTGAGCAGGGCAGCTCCCTACAGACTGTGCCACAGAACCTCCTAATTAACCACCTAGACAGCCTATGTAACTATATATCTTATCAAAGAACAGAGATAAGAGAAATAGTTGCTGGAGAAGAGTACTGAACGTATCATGGACTGCCAACAGAACTAGCAGATCTGTCCTGGAGAGGATGAAACCAAGTTGCTGCTTGCAGCCAAGGCCTTTGTAGCTCTGTCTCACATACTTTGGGTGTGTTGCCCAGAGGGACCGGTCCTTAGAGAAGGACATCGTGCTTGGAAGGGTGGAAGGACAGAGCAGGAGAGGAAGACCCAGGATGAGACGCATTGACACATTAACTAGGGTAATGAGGGTAGGTGTATCAGAAACAGTGACACTGTCACAGGAAGGTTCAGAGCTATTTTGCATAGGGTCTCTACGAGACAATAATAACAACAACAAGAAGACCAGAGAAGAATCTGGAAGGCCAGTACTAGGTCATATATTAAAAATGTCCTCCATAAAATTTACCTTTGATCTTATTATAGAAAAATCACATATGCATGATATATGTAAATATTTAAGCAATCTAGGTAGCATGTGCTTTACATACTGGACTACAAACCAAAAAAGAGAATGGTTCAAGTCCATTAGGTGCTCTATGAGAGAAAGATGGGTGTCTCCTGTAAAACTCAATGAAGTATGACCACAGAATAGATAGCACTGGGTTGAGTTGATGTTTTTAGATGCCATGGAGCCAACATGACTTCTAGGGACTCAATGAACAACAGATCTGAAGCTTGCCTGATCCTGTATCAACTTCCTAATCTCTGGAACACTCAAGCCCATTGTCTAGTGACTGATAATCCATCTTGTTGAGGGTCTTCCTTGCTTTTTCTGACCCTCTCAGTCTGTCCTAGTATGTTTTTTCCCAAGGACTGATCCCTCCTGACTCAAAGTATGTAAGACAAAGTTTCACCATCTTTGCCTCTAGGGAGCGACCTGGCCTGGTGGGCTCACTACCCAGGAGCTCTGATGGATGTAGAATATTGCACATCAAAAACAAAAGGTTAGGGAGCTCTGGTGGCCTAGTGGCAAGAAGCTGCACTGCAATCCCAGAGGTGTGTGGTTCGAATCCACCAAATGCTCTGCAGGAGAAGGAAGGGAAATCTCCTCCTGTACCAGTCAGATACAATTTGACGGTAGACACACATACACACATGCACGCACACACACACACACTAAAATAAAATTTATTTATTTTTTTTAAATGGTTTTACACTTTAGAGAGTGATCTCTCTCTTGGTGCTAGGTAGAATCAAGGTAGGGCCCACTCCACAGTCTCAGGGACATTAAGGTGAACTAGAATAACAAAGCCACAAAACCTAAATTGTGAGCAGTTGACAATCCAGTTGGCACCCAGTGCAAATCCTTACCACCAAGCCACCAGAGCTCCCTAGCAGTTGGCTAGGTCTTAAAAGCTTTTGAAGGGGAGCTCTGGTGGCCTAGTGGCAAGAAGCTCCACTGCAATCCCAGAGGAGCACGGTTCAAATCCACCAGATGCTCTGCCAGGAAAGGAGGGAAAATCTCTCGTACCAGTCAGATCCGATTTGACGGTACACTCACACACACACACACACACACACACACACACAAATAATAAAGTAATAATTAAAAAAAAATTTAAAAAAAAAGCTTTTGAGAAGCCATCTAAATGCAACTTTTGATCTCTCCTTGTCTGGAACAAACAAGAGCAATGAAAAACAAACTATTAGTTTAAATGACAAATGAGTTGTTTGAATTTCCACCTCTACTAAGACCAGAAGAACTAGATTGTCTCTTGGACAGATTGGGAGGAAAAATGGAGAACAGAATTCAAAATCATACACATGGCCAAGCTTGCTGATCTAAGAAGACACAGGGGAACCCTCGAGACTATGGCCCTTCTTCACTCTTTGAGCCTGGAACTGAATTCAGACCCGTGGCTCAACCTTCAGCCAAATAACAGACAGGCCTACAAGGAGAGCCCAACAGGGAGGCCCACAGTCCTTAAAACAATCAATCATAAAAGAAGAAAAAGGCAGTATTTTCCCAGTTTCATTACATTCTACACTGCTAATGGAAAGATTGGTGATTCAAATCCACCAGCTGCTCTACAGGAGAAAGATGGACAGTTTCCTCCTTGGGAAGTCTACAGCCATGGAAGCTCAATTGAGGGTCAATGGGAGTCAGAACTGACTCGATAACAGTGGGTTGGTTGGTTTGATTTTAAAGCCCTAGAGGCAGGAAGGTGTGTACTAGAAGGAATAATGGAAAAGAGAACCACAGGGAAGAAGTGGGAAGAGTGCTGTTACACTGTGAAGACTAATTAATGTCATATTACAGAATATGCATGAATAGTTTGAATATGTATGAATGGAAAACCAATTTGTTGTGTAAGCTTTAACTCAAAATACAACAAAAAGCCATACAAAAATAAAAAGGGAAAAGAAAAAAACCTTGTCCAAAGTCACCCAGTTATAAAAGACAGGGCCAGGATTCAAGTTGGTGAGCCTACGCTCTCCTACTACTTCCCCACCCCCCAGCAGGCCAACTGGGACACCTGAGCAGGTGGCCAATCAGCTCAGGAGAGGTAAAGCAGGGATCTGGCAGGTAGCTCTGCCAGTTTCTCCAGAAAGGCAAGGGTAAAAGTTTGTCCACATGGGATGTGAGAGTCTGGGGGCCAAGGGAAAGGGATTAGGAAGGAGGAGGTGGGAGGAACAGGGTCCCAGTGTCCCAAACCCTCACTCAGGAAACCCCACCCAGGACCGGACATCCCAGTGTCAGTCACACTGAGCCAGAGACCGGACATCTTGCCCCTCCCAGAGCACCTGTGGTTTAACAGGAAACAAAGGAATGACCACTGTGGCCAATGTCCAGCTAGGCTTGGAGGGCCCTGGGGGACAGTGGGGAAGGCAGAGAACTCCTGACACTCATCTGAGACCCATCATGTCAGGTCTGGGCATGCTGCCAGACATCCCCTCCTCAAACAAGTCCTTTTCACCCTTAGGGGTGGGGTGCTGACGGGTGGGATTCTCCTCAGAGCCGAGGCCAGGATCACACCCAACCATCACACAGAGCCAAGAGCGTTTCCACAACAGTCTGGTGTCCCTGACAGCTGTCTTACTTCAAGCCAGATGCACCCACCCAATTCCAGATGCGTAGAGAACAGAGGATGCAAGAGGGGGTTATGGGTGGGGCCCGCATCTCACACCCAGGGGAGAGCTGAGGAGGGCAGCCAAACATTTAGACTTGGCTACCACCAGACCCTGGGCTTCAGCCCGGCCCTGGCACAAACTGGCTTCCACTTCACACTCTGCAGCAACCTGGTGGGTAACTCCTGCCCTTTCACAGAGGCAGACGCCTAACCTTAGAGACATCAGTAACCCTGTCAGTCACCCGGCTAGCAAACGCAGGAGTGCGCTCTGTTACCCAGCTCTTCCAGTCCAGTGGGTCCTGCTAACATGTGCCATCTAGTTGCAGTGCAGGAAAGTGACTTCTAGCTGGGCTGCACATCGCAGTCCCCCCCCCATCCACGCCCTACTTCTTGCACCCTCTCACCTGAATAAGCAGGACAAAATTGGGGGAACTAGGGGTGGCTCCCTGCAGGGTGGAGGGGCAGCTATAGGAGTCATTCATTGGGCTCCCTGGGGCTTTCCTAGACAGCCATTCTCAGATCCCCCCTGCCATGAATACTGAGTCACTCCTTAAATATGGGGGTGTTCGAAGAGGCATCTTGATGATCT